AAAATTTTAAATGTTACACTATAAAGAAAATAGAAACAAATTTTGCTATTGGGCTTTCGAGAAGATAAATTTGAGAAAAAAACGTGATTATTGCTGCAGGAGTCGCTAATTAAAACAAAGACAAAGGAAACAATTTACGAGGGGAAATTTTATTTTACAAGGACAAAGGGAAATAAAACTTTTCCCTTTTTTTCCTCCCGCAACATGAAAACGTATTCGAAATTATCCCTAAATACATGCGGTACTTTTATAGCATTCATTTGGATGAAATGAGTGTTCGTTAGGTAGCATTAAATTTGGTCTAATTGTTGCATTTTAGGAATTATTATTACGCAAAGGCGAGTATTCTGCTTCGAAGTTTTATACTGTAGTGTGCAATTAGTTTAAATTTGCCTTTTCTATTTCTTGGCTTCTTTCAAAATTCCGTATGATAAATGCAGCGGTCTCAAACTGGGGGCCTCGAAGCAATTTAATTAATAAATTACTCTTATTAGTACTCGTCAAAATATAAATATTCTCGGTGTCCGCCGATATCATCGCGGACGAAAACGTCGCAGAGAAAACAACGCAAGGCGAAAACGTTGTGCTACAAAACATCGTGGGAGAAAACATCGCAAAGAGAAAACATCGCAGTTCTAAAACATCGTGGTACAAAACATCGTCGTCGAAAATAAAGCGGTTCAAAAACTTCGCAGTTTAAAAATATCGTCGTCGAAAACATCGTGGTAAAAAATAAAGTATCTACAAATCATCGCGTAACGATAACATCGCAGACATGCTTTTTTTCAGACTTTAATAACTGTAAATAGATATTCCCATCGCAATTTGTGAGCGCAAAATAGAAAGTAGGATAATTTGTTTTCATATTTTATATTAACTAATTTTTGCTGAGGAAATAAGAAGGAAACTTAAGCATAGAAAATTAATGCAACTTATAGCACTTAATAGAATTTTAAACCGACATAGTTAACTAACAAAGACCATTAATAAATAATTTTTATAAAGTTTTTACTGGTAATTTTTCATAAAAAGTATAATCTATAAGTTGCATTTAATTTTCTATGCTTATGTTTCCTTCTTACTTTTTCAGCAAAACTTTATTAGTTAATCAAAAAATGTGAAAGTAAAAATTATTTTTCTTTACATCTTGCGCTCTCAAATTATTATGGGAATATCTATTTACAGTTATTAAAGCCTAAAAAAGCATGTCTGCGATGTTATCGTCATGCGATGATTTGTAGATACTTTATTTTTTACCACGATATTTTCGACGACGATGTTTTCAAACTGCGATGTTTTTGAACCGCTTTATTTTCGACGACGATGTTTTGTACCACGATGTTTTAGAACTGCGATGTTTTCTCTTTGCGATGTTTTCTCCCACGATGTTTTGTAGCACGTCGTTTTCGCCTTGCGTTGTTTTCTCTGCGACGTTTTCATCCGCGATGTTTTCGGCTGTAACCATATTCTCAGTTACGAATTTTTGCAATAAAAATAATTGTTTTGTTTCGGAGTACATTTATGTTTGAACAATTTTGTTATCGCAGTTGGAAATTAATAAATCTACCGAAAGAATCAGACTTCCGATGAGTATTTGCAATCTGAAGATACTTTCTAGTAATTTTCCTTCAAAATTACAAACTTCGAAAAACTGAAAATCGAAACCCTATGAGAGGTTGTAGCTGAAAGGTATAATAAGAAACAAAGAAATGTATCATTATTTACATACAAATGTTATTTTTTTTTTTTTTTTTTTTTTTGCATGCAACATAAAAAATTTAATAAATAAGAAAGAGAATAGATTTCATTGTTTAATCTCATTGTCCCTCTTGGGAAGTTTTCGTATATTTCTTTTTAGTTTGAGTTAAAATAAGTTATTTAGTAACGACTTCAGTATATTACAGTTATATAAATTAATGTCAATCTGAAAATCTTAATATTTTGCTGTCAATAAGTTTGAATGAGAACTTTTAAATATGTCTTTACAGCTGATGAAAGGGGGGATATTTCTATCATAAACTGACGCCAGTTTCAGAAACGAAAAGCTTGTCTCTGGAAGAAAACAAAATGTAAAAAATATTTGAGTTTTGTAGGAGGTGAAGTGGTTAAAATGCAATCATTTACAATGCTTCACAAAATTAATCATGGGATAATGTTTTCCTAAGTTCTGCTTTATTGCTACGCTATTCACCAGTGGTCTCTGAAATTAATTAAACTTATGTAACATATGCCTACAACAGATTTTTTTTTTCCCTGACAAAGCTTTGAATAGGATAAAGCCATTATGCAAATCAATAATCGCTATCGCTAATTGTCATCTTTTGTAAGACAACCACTTTCGTAGAAGGCCAAAATAATCTTGAATGTGGGCGATCATCTTAGATAAGGTTCAATTTATTCGCCTTTCCAAAAAGGTGTACACTCAACTCCCTTGCTATCGAAAGAGCAAAATAGAGAATAATATGCATACAGAAGTTAACACTGTCTGTCTATAAACACAGTTTTTATTCATTTTGTCTAGTTTAGAGCATTCATATGTTGCTAAAACAGCGATTTAGGTGTATATTTATATGAATTTTATTACATTCATAAAAGAAATTTCGCCGAGATTTTCGCATAAAAATTGAACTAAAGGAAAAGTTATACTGAATAGCTGGAAAACATTCTGGCAACTTCAGAGCATACCGCCAACTTTTACGGTACAGAAAGCCAAAAATCAATAATGGCGAAAGCTAAGCAATTGATAACCGTTTTTCCAAATTTCACGAATATTTCTAATCCAGTGTCTTAGAAACTTCAACCGGCTTAGAAGCGAAGAAGTCTTCCAGTCTCTCATTTGCCGCAACTTCATTGAAGCTGGAAAATACGGAACTTTGTTAATGCAAAGCCTCGGTTATGCAGTGAACGAAAACGAATCAAAACGTCTGAACCTGATTTATATAGTTTCTAGGAAAGAGTCTCTCAAAACACATTGAGATTTTATTTTGGCGTGTAAGAATCGAACACACCTACTAAGAGCATCTTACAAACTTTGCACCTCAACGAGTTTGTCAGCAAGATAATGTAGTTTTTATCAGCATATTTTGGCGATGGTGCCGATAACTCGAGAGAGTAGTACTTAAAGGAATAAGACAAGTCATTTCATCACGAATACAAAATCAGTTTCACTCAGGTGTATCCTTGTTTTCTCTTGTAAAGAACCTTTTAGTTTTAAACTAAACCAATTTTAGTTCACTTACTTATCTTTTTTTATCTTCCCTCATTTCCATTTCCTGACAGAATAATATTTCAGTTTCGCGTTTTATGCAAAGTAGGGTAGAAAGATACTATTTAAGCTGGTGTCTGAATTATTTCAGATACAGCGTGTTCTGTCTTTCGGCCATGGTGTTTCGCTGATTTAAGCTTGCTGTTTTACGGCCATGCAAATTGATTGCCGGGTTGTGTACGTCGGTGGTAAGGTTAAGAACCAACTCTCGTTAATTATCTCTGTGCAGCTTCGGCTGATTATTTAACTTGGTTTTAATTTTATATTTCTATTTTTAGCTGCATCCAAAAGTATTGGCTAAGTTTATAAGCACCAAGAGGACCGTCTGCAAATTACTTCTTGAGCTGAATACAAGGGTCTTTTCGCCTTTCTAACGTCTTGTCACAGATAAAGTTTGAATTTAGCAAGTAGTCGCTTCACAGTTCAAGTAAGGATTTAGCCAGCAAGTTAAATTAGCTAGAGTAGAAATTAGCTAGCTTCCATCCTAATGCTTAGGCGGTTCTTTCTTGTACATTCTGAGGAGGTAAGATAGCAAAGAACCAAAATTTGCTCACGCTGATTGTCAGAAAACAGATTTTTCCCCCCTTTAATGAAGATTCCTAACTAATACAAGGATACAACCCCGTCACAAAAGTGATCGAACTAATATTTAGTGTCTCAATTTTAGCTGTATTTTCTCCGAATGCTCTGCTATCATGATTATTTGATTCGGTAACACGAAGTCGGGATATGAAGCGTAGAATAGACAGCTGCGAGTAAGGGCTGGCTCAAAGATTCACCGATGCTTTACAGGATTGATTTTAGCCTGAAAGATCCTTTGTGATGCCTCATACCCTCCCTCTGTTTTTTTTTCTTTCTAACACAAGTTATGGAAACGTTGCACTGAAGTAATACTTCGCAAGGTTCTAAAACTGGCAGAACTCCACCCAGCAGGTATAGTTGATAGTGACACTGACTGCTGTACTGATGGGCCCGGGTTCAAATCCTCTAAAAGGCATGGATGTTTGTAGGTATATAATGCCTGTACAGCAAAGGGGCATTAAAATACATAAAAAAAGCTAAAAGTACTCTCGAGAGGGTGATGGTAGAGAAAGAGTAAGTAGCAATGAAACCTTTAAAAAAATGCACAAAATTATACACATGCGGTTCTCGCAGTTTGTACTGAGATACGTTTTACATGGAAGATAATGTAATGTAAGCGGAAAAAAAAAATATTGGGGAGTGATATTTAAGACAAAGAAATGAGACCAAAATCAATTTTGTGTCTTTCAAAACGCTTCTAATTTTATGAGGCTTCTGATAAAAATTATTTTAATTTTAGAACGTTTTGTCATGAAATTGTAAAGAAGTATTTTATTTCCTCTTGCGTACATTCATGGTGTAAGTGGGTAGCACGTCTAGCTGGAAATTAAAACATCCGTGTTTCGAAGTCTGGAAAGGGTTCAGCTCCTTTCTCATGTTTCCTGCCTTCTAAAAACTTAATAATGTTCACGAATGTACGCATTTCCTAAAATATTTTATACATGTTAACAACATGCTTTAAAGCGCAGTAACCATTCCGCTAATTTTAATTGTATGGAAGCAAAATTGCAAGGTTCATTTCATCTGTACTTCTAATTTCTTCAAAAAGGAGCCTCATATCAATATTATAAAAAAATTAGAAGGTAATGTACTGGACTTGTGTAGTAATGAGAGCATAGAATAATAGACAACAAAGAGATTATCAAGTAATTACCTGAAGCTTCCATCCCGATACGAATATCGTTTGATTTCAATGAAACGCATGTTTGCTCTATATGCATGCAGTGGGAAATAAGAGCAAAAAAAAGGAGGAGGGAATAAAAAAATGTCGCCAAAATTGAAAAAGAAACGGAAATAAAAATAGAAAGAAGCGCAGCCAATACTTTCACCCGATTGGACAGGAAGCAAATGTCACGCCATTGTGATCCTTTGTTTACTTAGATGGATGATAGCCTAAGCGACACGATTCGGCCTCATTGCCAAGTTTTAGTTGGGAACTTTTTTTTTCATCCCCGAGCCTTATGAATATATTGCCGAAGCGGAAAAACTACCGAAATGCGGTCACTTCTTAAAGGGACTGCCGAGAAATCACCCTTAAAATGGGGGGGGGGGAACGTCGAGGGTTTTTTTTTACATTGGAGGAACTGAGTGGGATGTTTGCTTAAGCACCATGAATAAGAAAGACCCGTTTATGATATGCTAGCTTTAAGATGGATTCCTGTGTTTTTTTATGCATTCATATTGAAAATGATACGAAAATGCTTTTGTGGGAGCCAGGTTGTATTTTACGCGCAGTTGAACGTGGGGCCCTCCTTTACCTGCGACTGAGAGGATATCCATTTAAATTATGGCGTTTTAAGGTGTTTCATTTTCATGCAAATTGCTAGTATCTACTACGGTTCTGGGAAAACAGGTTCAGAAAATACTCCCCTTTAAAAAAGGTGCATATAATATTTTGTTAATGTAATTTATGAACAAATGTACGTATGGATTCTGTCTCTCCGATTTATGACTGCAGTAAATAAACACAGAGAAAACGAATGGACAAGGAAAACTCGCCCACGTGTCACGCTCGAGTTGCAGGAGTAAGTAGAAATTAAATTTTCGTTGCCAAGTGCCTTCGAAATGATAATTTGAGCAATTCGTTTCCTCGAAAGACAATCTCTTTCACAACTATGTTCCTACAGCAACAAAAGAGGTCTTTTAAAGATAAATATTAACAGTGAGTGTCTACTTTGTAACTGCCATTTTACAAAATTGCAAAGTGTTTAAAAACGAGTTCCACATTCTGTTTACTTTTAGGTAGCTTTATTTCATTGCATCGTGTCTCGTTAATTAATTTCTCTTAACCGAAATTTGCATGTAACCTGTTTCTTGATAGTTGACCTCGGATACAAATTATCAACCTAAAATCCATACTTTTGTAGTTAAAAATATTTAAAACTTACTTAATATGGACATTGAAATACTTATTAACACGAGAAAATGTGCAAGCGGTTTTTTTAAGCGTTTGCAAGAATAGTTCCAATATCCATTTACTAATATCTTTATCAGTCTTGTGTAGCAAAAATCTTTTCAGAAAAATACCTAATTTTTGCAAAACTTAATAAGATTTAACTTGTGTTATTGATGTACTATAGTAAATAAAGCTATAGCTTGCTTGAGGATCCTATTAAAATAGAAAAGGAAGTTAAGAGCATGCAAGAAAACTAGTTTTTAAATTAAATGTACGAATTTCATAAAATATTCTAAAATTTTAATTAGTTTCGTTTATTGTTAAAATTTTAATTAATTAGTTAAATTAAAATTTTAATTAGTTTCGTTTATTGTTAGGTTCGTGCATATGAACCTAAAAATGAGGCACAGTAAAAAGGATTCCCTTCCCTCAGATTCAGTAACGTTTTAACTTTCTTATCTAAATTATCGCTTTACTTTATATGTTGCAGTGCTATTATCAGGAAGAAATTTCAGCTGTAAAGAGGTGCGAAATTCTGCATTTGCACTTGAACTGCGGCAGTAAAATGAAAAAAAAAAAAAAAAAGAATTTTGATACCAGCATCTTGGAAAACAATCAGAAATTTATCTTCTTTTACACGTAGTGTGCATTTACATTACAAAAAATCCAGTAATAAATGTTTCAGAATCATATTTCTATTTTAAAATTTAAATAGTTTTATTAGTAATTTTCCTAAAAATGCTAACAAATTATATGTTTGTGTTCTGAACCAAAAGTGCAAGGAAATTGTGAAAGATGCGTTACCATGTGCATTCCGCCCCCCGTTCTAGAAATATTTCTAGTTCATCGTTATGATCATATCTGTTTAGAGGTCATATGGAAGCTCTGTTATTCCCCCTCTTAATTGAGTAACAAATAATTGATATCTCAGGATGACGTAATTGGATGAAACAATCAAGTTTTTAGAGCTCTGAAGCCAGAACTACTCTCCATACTCTTCGGACTCTCTCATCTAAAAAATATGATGTTGCAGGCAAAAACACGTGCAATCTTTAGGAAGTAATATACACATTATATAATTTTTTTATGTTTTGGCATTTCCCAGCCTTCAAAAGTTGAAACATGAAATATATTTCATTTATTTTAATATTAAATAAATGACACGTATTCTAAGTTTTAAGTATTATCTTACTTCCTTGCAGATGCTACAGGGTTTGATTTTTCTAAAATCGTCTGGTTGATTTTTCTAAAATCATCTGGTTGATCTTCTAAAATCATTTGAATGATTTTTCTAAAATCATCTGGTACTTCCTTGCAGATGCTACAGGTGTATATTTTTCTAAAATTAATCTGGTTCTAATTTTTCTAAAATCATCTGGTTGATTTTTCTAAAATCATTTTGTTGATCTTCTAAAATCATCTGGTTGATTTTTCTAAAATCATCTGGTACTTCCTTGCAGATGCTACACGTTTTGCTTTTTCTAAAATCATCTGGTTTCTAAAATTCTCAGTAAGATTATATTTTACTATACTAAAGTCCTTGAGAAATACAGACTACAGCACAACTAAAATCACTTGATCCAAACAGGCTTAAATTAAAAGAAAAAAAAATGTCAAGCTCTCAGCTCGCTATATAATTTTTAAGTGCTATGTAGTTTGTGTTTCTCCGTGTGCCTTGTTACGGAAAAGTTAGATAAATTTTGCGAGCAAAATGAAAATTCAGAAAACTCCCTTTAGTATTTAAGTCTATTACAGTGCCGATTTCATCCAAGTTACAACTAACCCAAGTTGTCTAATATATCTGCAAAATCTCTGATATTACTTACTTCGAATATAATTCAGCTATAAAATAGCGTTCTTGTCCTCGCCTCAGGGGGTGTTACACCCAAAAGATTCACTGATGCTGGAGTTTCTTGATTTATAATATTCTCAGGTTTTTCAGAATGGAATATGTCTAAAACTGGGTTTTCTATATAGCATAATCCCTCTCCCTTTCTTTAAACTATTATTCTTAGAATAAGGGACCTCAGTTTCTTAACCTTTCAGATTTAACCGGGCTTGCTGAAAGGTTGTTTTTATGCAAATGCTTCGGAGAAAACCAGAGGTGAGCAAACGATACCTCACAAACAGGTTCCGAAGGCATTTACAAACAGAGGTACAACAATTATGGGTAAAAGCACATTTGGCCCGGCATCAATAATTCAGCGGAAACAGCTGAGCTCCCCTTCGAGAAATTTTCATGAATTCCTACTGGTTAAATAAAGAAAAGGAGTACTTTCTTCTCTTCCCATTTGAAAAACCTTAAGATCAGTAATCAGCAATCTTCTTGTCACTTCTTGAAATTCCTATCTGTTTTATTTATTCGCTATGGAAAATTAAAATTGCAGATAATAGTTTTTCAAAAAATATTATGTATGTATGTAACAGGTTTTATTGATTGCGTTCTAATGAGTACATTTCCATTCAAAAATTGGGTAGGATTTTGGCACAGCACTTGAAAGTTATATTTTTGAGAAGGAGGGAAAACCCGTGGAGAACTTCCTAAAGAAAAATGGTTGGTATTTACTTTGAAAAGAACAAAAAATACGAAAATCGCCTTTCAATAAGTCAGCTCAGCCGATGGTAAATGAAGTCGAGATGAGGTACCACTATACAGCCATCTCATATTTTCAACCATTAAAAGTAGGCACATAAAATTATTTATCTAGCTGTATTTTGGCGTTTTGTGTCAGGTGAAAGCAAACATATTTCCTACCATTCAGAAGTAGTGACACTTACAGTGTGATTAAAAAATATCTGTCAAAAATGAAAGGCAGATAGAGGGGCCTGAAATAAGCAGACTTAGTAATGGAAAGTCTGTGCTGAAATGGTGCAGTGAAGGGATGCAGGACGCTGTTCAGCGGTAGGGTAAATGCGTTCTTCTCCGTAAATTGTCCTTCTCCGTGCGGATTTTGAGCGATATGTATCGCTAAACGAAAGTGGAACTCCTTAATATGCATTTTATCTATGAGATTGGCACTAAAAAGTAACAGCTACTCAAAGGAGGCCCAAAGAAGGATTCCTGAGTACGTTCTTTAAGCAGCTGCTGCATTTTCGTACAAAATCCCATAAATAAAATGCATATCAGAGAGTTCCACTTTCGTAAAGTTTGCGTAACGGCACGTAACTTTCAAAAGCCGCGCAGGTAATGACAGTTAGCTTGTAGGGTTTATATTTATTTTAACTAACATTTATTTCAAGTTTTCCTGTCAAGCCTTTACTTTCTCCTAGAATTGCCAATGCTAGAGTATGTAAATTGTAGTAGAGCGCGCAGTATATTCAAATTTTAGCAGAAGTAAGTTGAGTTTAAATAGAAGGAAAACGAGATTGTAGGTGTGAATCGTGAACGTGAAGGTTGCTAGATAGAAATTTAAAAACCGCGCGTTTCGGCCTGTGTGCCTATCTCGGCAGTTTTTGCTGAATCTTTCAACTGCTTAATTAGTAAGCTCGCTGAATCTCAGCGGTATTTTAGAACGCGGTTAGGTTAGTTTAAGATCTCAGAGCCTCGTGGATAGTGATCTCGCTATTTTATTCATCCAGTCATTATTTTATAGTTTCACATTTCTGTTTCTGTTAAACCACCGGGTCGGCGTAGTTTGTGAGCGTCAAAGTGGAAGCGCAGCTGTTATTTTTAAAGTGGAATAAAACGGGCTTTAAACCCTTCTTACGTGTCTGTGTACATTTACACTTAGTAGCAGTCACTACCACAGTTGCTGACAAATTGGGGCCACACGATACTACAAGCTCTAGCAGAAAACGTTTAACTACCGCTACAGGAGC